CCGGGCGCCGCCGACAGGGCACACCTTGAAAAAGCAGCAGCGCGGAGGGGAAGGGGATGGGAGCGGAGAAGGAGGGAGCAGGCAGGAAGTGGGAGACGGAGGAGACGGACGCGCGGCGTAGAGGCATGAGCCACCCAACCACCCACCCCCCACCCACCCCCAGGCGCTCGCGCGCCCGCCAGAGGCGAGGGGCGGGGGAGAAGAGGGGAAGAGAGGGAGAGGAGCTGGGGCTGGAAAAAAACAAGGAACAGGCGTCGGATGAGGAGGCGGGAAGCTCCTGATGCAGCCCCTGCAGCGCGCGCAGGGGGTCCCGCCCGCGAATGCCCGCGCGGGCCCGCCAAACGCGCATCAGGTACTTTCGATACCCGCTGGCAGTTCCGCTCGGGGCTCGCACGCCGCGCCAACAGCGTGGAGCAGCTGACCGGCAGACCGCAGGCCGGGAGGCGGCCGGGGCGCCGCTGCATCACGGCTCGCGCCGCGGGGCTCAGCGCTCGGCGCCCGCCCCCGACGACAGCAGGCCTACGGGCACTTCGCAATTGCTCCACGCCCGCCGTCTGCAGAGCAGCACCGAGCCCTGGCCAGAAAGCGACGGCATCGGCGGAGCCCCACTGCCTCGCCGTCAGACCAGGCCAAGTGGTCCAAGACCAGCCGCCTCGCAGCGGACCCTACCCAGCCGCCAGTCTCAACCGCGAAAGGAATGAGCAGAGGCGTGGCCAGCCTGGGCGGGTACCAACACCGCTTCTCGCAAGCTGCATCTTCCGCTGCAAAAACCAAGCTTCTCCGCCCGAGCAGGTTCCGCGCGCTCTTCGGCGCTGTCGGGGCTGATGCCCACCACGTCCACCGCCCTCGCGGCCCCATGGCGAAACCAGACCACGTCGAGGACCGCCAGCTCGACGCGCGTGGCTTCGGCCCCGTCCACCAGACTCGACGAAGCCGTTGCCACTGGGGCACAACCTGCTATTGTTGCACCCACGCCGGGCAAGCCAGTGGGCCAGCAAATCGCGGCGGACGCGGTCATGCTGTGCCGCGCGGCGCCCTCCCGTCTCGCACGCCAGTGCGCGGTCCTGATCGGGCCCCAGAGTCGCTCCGCAAAGCGCCCCAGCAAGGGACGTTTTTCGACAGTGCATCTGCGGTTCCAGCCCGCGCAGCAGCCGTACGCCCTCCATCTGGAGGCGCCGCCGCAACGAGATACGGAAAAGTTAGGTCGGGCATGTCCCCCTGCTGGCGGAGTTTGGACGAACAGTTATACATAGTTTACAAGTATCAAGTTTTCGACAAGAAATCCAAGAATATTTTTGACTAGTTTGAAATCTTCCTCCTGTAGAGGGACACGCCCGACATAAGGGTAAAGCTAAGGATGCATCTTGTGTTCTGGCTTAGTCGGCAGCAAGGTGAAAGCGCCTGCCCTGGGGCCGCCCAGCGACTGCAAGCGTCCACGCTGACGATCGTTCAGCCCCGCTTTGGCGACAGCTGCAAGCACCTCCATGAGCGGGCCCACAAGGTCCTTGTGCCGGTGGCGCTCGCACTGGGCCACTGATACCTGCAGACAGTGAGCAACGCCGACAAAGGAATTATACGTCACCACAATGGCCGCAAAAGCCTGCGTGTCGGTCGCGCGCGCGCCGAAGAACGCCTCGGCGCTGGGGGGCCCAGCGCTTCCGCGATCCGCAAGGCAGCATCGAGCCACGCGGCGATGTGCGCCGATCGCCGAGGCTCTGCTTCGCCCGCAGACAAGACCGCCATCCCGAAAAGGCTGGTTCGACTGCACTGCGCCCACTCCCGGTCAGCCATGCCAACGCCGAGGAGGTGGTTCCAGAGGCCACGCAGCACCACGTCGCAGGCCCGCACTGCCGCGAGGTCCCAGAAGTGCGAGCGCAGCAACTGGTTCGGCAAGCCCTGGGCCGTCCATCTCAGCACCTGGCCATCGCTCGGACATCCATTCCCTGTGTTTTTTTTGGTTTCGTGCGTGGTCTTTTCGCCAAATGATCAAGGATGCTCCTCGATGGTCCTCGCCGAAGGAAACATGCACACGTCCGAGCGATGCCAAGACACTGCTCTCGCCTCTTGTGGCCCGAGGCCTGCAGCCATCGCCTCGTGGAGCCTGCCCGAGAACCTTTGAGCGCGTCCGTGGATGCGCCCATGGCGCGACGAGCCCCGCCGCGGGGCCCATGACAGCCAGGGACTCCCGGTCGTCCCGGCGGCGCGCCAGGCTGCATCCCACCAGTGGAGCCCAGGGGACACACGAATGAATACACAAATCCCAGGATTCCCCATATCTTCCCATGTGTTCTGAGCTTTCGTCTTCCCCCCCACTTCCCACATTTGCCCATCTTTTCCTGGAGGTCGACGACTAAGTGTGTCTGTGTGCTTCTTTCCCTCCTGACCCACGACCTGCAGCTCGTCCACCACGTACGGCCCGAGGGCGGGCGGGCACTACGCAGTGCTCCTGGTGAGTTCTTGCAAGGATTCCTCTGCCTCCGTGCTCAGCACGACAGCCACGGTGTCGTGCAGGTAGGCGGTGACGAGCCTGCGGCAACAACCATCCTCCTCCTCCTCCTCCTCCTCCTCCTCCTCCTCCTCCTCCTCCTCCTCCTCCTCCTCCTCCTCCTCCTCCTCCTCCTCCTCCTCCCACTCCTCCTCCTCCTCCTCCTCCTCCTCTCCTCCTCCTCCTCCTCCTCCTCCTCCTCCCCCTCCTCCTCCTCCTCCTCCTCCTCCTCCTCCTCCTCCTCCTCCTCCTCCTCCTCCTCCTCCTCCTCCTCTTCCTCACCTCCCGCCCTCCCTCCCTCTCTCCCTCCCTCCCTCCCGCCCTCCCTCGCTCCCTCCTCCCACCCCCCCCTCCCTCCCCGCCGCACCCCTCACCCTTCTCCTCTCTGCCCACCACCCCTTCGGGGCCCAGCGTCTCCCGGACGCCGCCACGCCAAGGCGGCGCTCTACCTTTGCATTGCCTGCCGTATCGCCGGCTGCGCCGCCCCATGCGCCCGGGTCCCACAGGTTGTCGTAGAGCCCGTCGGTGGCGAGCACTATCAGGTCACCCTCCTCAGGAGGACGCCGTCCTTGCTTCCTTCTTCCCTCCCACCCTCGTCACTCCATTCCTCCACCCCTCCTCATTCACTGCCTGCCTGATGCTTCCTCCATCTTCCCTCCCTCCCCTTTCCTCCCCCATCTCCCCTTTGGACATTTTAATAGCCACGCAAAACCAGACAACCACAACCACACACACACACTCGCCTGAATAATTCCGCACCGCGTAAAAGGGACTCAAATCCAGCCAAATCGACACAGCATGGAATGCCCGTAACCCGTGCCCATGCTCGCTTTGTCGATTCCCATGCGGCCAATGGCCCATGGCTCTGTTCGCGGCTACAGCAGCAATGCCCATGGTCAAGCTCATGCGTATGCGTATACGGAGTATACGTGAAACAGTTTTACCTTGGTTTATCTTAGCGTTGCCCTGTCGGCCTTGGTTCAGTCCATCCAGTTCTACAAATTTATAGAGGTACATACACCGCTTGACCAGACTGAACTTGCCTGGTGTTATATCAGATGCTACATTCGCTTACGTTGCAGATTTAGTAGCCTCAGCATCTGAGTCAGCGTCCCTGTTAAAATGTAGCTAACGGTGCAGCCTCACCGTCTGTGCAGCACCAGCCTTGACTACCCTAGCTTATCGCAGATATGCTCAGCTTGACTCGACCTTACGGCATCCATATTCTCACTCTCGCGAATACTTCTTCGAGGCCGACACGATCGTTCTCGGAATCCACGATGGCAGGCACCGCCACGCTCACTCGGCCCGCTCCCACTGCTCCCCCTCCCCGCCCCTTCCCCCCCTTCCCCAAAGAGGAAGAGGCTCGAGGAGGAGGACGAAGAGGAGGGGCGGGAGAGGGACAGGAGGATAAGTAAGGGAGGAGATGGGGGTGGGGATGATGGGCGTGTTTTCCAACACCACCACAGGAAGTTGGAGGAGGGAAGAGCTGGAGGATGAGGAAGACGAGAAGGAGGACGACCCTCCTCCCCTCCTGTGTCCGGTGGTGGCGGTGGAAAACAGGCCCACCATAGGGGAGGAGGGCGAGGAGCGGAGGGGCGAGATGAGATGAGACCACTCGCGAAGCGGAGCTAGGAATTGTATACGGCAAGTTCGTGTCGTGTCGACCCCGGCGTTGGTTTCTGACACCACGTGGATCGTTCAAGTCTGAACGATCGGCGGCTTTCCCATCGCCCGATCGCTCCACGCAGGCCGATTCTGGGCCTCTGGCGGCGTTCAACCTTGAACGTCCGAGGCGGGGTCGCCGCCGGTCGACACGACGCGCACCTACCGGCAGGTTCGTGTCGTGCCGACCCAAGCGTTGGTTTTTGACACCGCAGGGATCGTTCAACCTTGAACGATCGGCCGCTGGATCGTTCAACATCGATCGATTCTGGGTCGCCGACGGCGTTCAACCTTGAACGTCCGAGGCGAGGTCGCCGCCGGTCGACACGACGCGCACCTACCGTACCCCAGAGCAGGAGGCACAGGGGGACGGCGCGAGGCCCCGGGACACCCCCCCCGGGCAGAGCGCGGGCCGCGGCGTCCGTCCTTCTCGGCTGGGCCTGTCCCCACGTGCAGGCGGATCCTGGACGAAGAACAAAGCATACTCCTCCTCCTCCTCCTCCTCCTCCTCCTCCTCCTCCTCCTCCTCCTCCTGCTCCCCCTCCTCCTCCTCCTCCCACTCCTAGCCCTTTCGATCAGGGTCGGCGGCACCGGCCGTCAGGCCTCTCCAATACTCCAAAGATGCCCCAGAATAGTCAGAAACGATGGAAAAGAAAAATCGTCCCCTGACTGTTCTTTGCCTATTTCTGAAGACTCCTCAATGTCGAGGGACGGGTCCGCCTTGTGTCCACCCCGCCCGTCCCTCCCCCCCGGTGCGCCTCCGCGGAGAAGCTGTACAGCTCCGCTGCCGAGGGCGGGTCCTGCAGCAGGATGCCCGCCTGCACGGCCTCCGGGCGGGCGCGGCGGCGGCCTCTTCCCCCGGGAGCCCGGGCGGAAGCATGCTGGCGGTTGGCCCGTCTACACGTCGTTCACTTCTAATCGTGCTCATTTCTGATTGTGCTCGTCTCTCATTGTTCCTGGCCCCCCAGTGGCCAGGAAGAGGCCCAGGATAGCACAGTCAGAAACAAAAGGACCCAGGCCCCAGAGAAACTCAAAGAACTTTGGAAGCATACGACATGAGCAGTGGGTAGTCTGATAGGGGACCTCAGCTCGGCAGAGCCCTCGCGCACCTCGTGCCTGTGTGGAGCGCTCCGCGGGCCCCCGAGGAGGCGGCTCCTCGCAGCGCCCTCCCGCTCGGCGCGCCCCTCGCGCCCCCTCCGTGCCCGGCGGGCCCTCCGAAGGCCCTCGGCGGGCCTCCGAGACCGCCCAGAGCCTCCTCCCCCCCCCCTGAGGGGGCGCAGATGCGGCCCCGAGGAGCACGGGCAACTGGCCATCGCTCGGACATCCATTCCCTGTGGTTTTTGCTTCTGCTTCGCGCGTGGCTTTCTCGCCAAAGGATGCTCCCCGATGGTCCTCGCCGAAGGAAAATCCACACGTCCGAGCGATGCCAAGGCAGCGGTTGGCACCGAGCCTCGCCGAGGCGCCGTGCCTGGAGCACCCGCGGGCTGGCCGGGGCGGCGCGCGAGCTTCCCCCCCCCCGGGGGGGCCGCGGTGCCAGACCCGCCCTGCGGGCTCGTCGAGAGCCCGCGCACCCAGCCAAACTTTGTGCGGGAACCCGCTCATCCGACGGTGACGGTGACGGTGACGGTGACGACGACGAAAACCACGACGACGACGGCGACGACGGCAACGGCGACGGCGATGGCGACGGTCTGGGAACCCCCCATCTTGGGCAGGGACCGACAGCCCCAGCAGTCCTAGAGGCCTGACGCGACATGTTCTTGGAGCCCAAACATGTTCTGATAAGAAAGCAGTATTCTTAGAAAAGGAGCCCCATGCACGCAGGCAAGACAGCCCCAGCCAGAGATGGTCTGAGAACATCTCGCAGAAACCACAAAAGGTTCTCAGAGCATTGCTTGGTGGGCCCATAGGCACGCCAGGACGCTTCGTCACTGCTTGACCATCCCCAACCCCACCAACCCCACCAACCCCACCAACCCACTTGCGCCCAGGGAGCTGGCAAGAAGCAGCCAGACGCTGGCCAGCGAGCGGGAGCGGGACGCCCCCTGGGAGAGGAGGGGGAGGAGGAGGAGGAGGAGGAGGAGGAGGAGGAGGAGGAGGAGGAGGAGGAGGAGGAGGAGGAGGAGGAGGAGGAGGAGGAGGAGGAGGAGGCAGGAGGAGGAGAGGAGGGAGGAGGGGGAGGAGGAGGAGGAGGAGGAGGAGGAGGAGGAGGAGGAGGAGGAGGAGGAGGAGGAGGAAGGAGGAGGAGGAGGAGGAGGAGGAGGAGGAGGAGGAGGAGCATCCCCACCAAAGCTTCCTGTCCGCCGCGGCGCGGCAGCGGCACTCCGCCCGCGCGAGCGGCAACTCCGGGCTGCGGAGTCGCGGTTTGGCCCGCGCGCAAGAGGGGAAGAGAGGAGAAGAGAGGGCAGCCGCTAGCAGGAGATATAGCAGAAGGATAGAGGAAGAGGAGATGAGGAGGAGTAGGAGGAGGAATGAGGGAGGAGAGGAGAAAAGAAGAAGAGAGGGAGGAGGAGGGGAGGGAGGAGGAGGATGAGGATAAGCAGGCCCCGGAGGGAGAAGAGGAGGGAGAGAGGGGAGGCGGAGGAGGCGGCGAGGAGGAGGATGAGGGGGGAGGGAAGAGAGGAGGAGGGAACAGGATTGGAGGAGGAAGAGAGAGATGAGGATCGAAGAAGCCCACCCACCAAGCAACGACATTTTTAGATATATATATATAATATATATAATATTATATAATATATATATATATTATATATATATATATATATAATCAACCACAAAAACTGTGGGAGGCGTTGCCCTCCAGTTCGGCCGCGGGGATCCCCTCGCAGCTCGACCGGGCTGCCGGGGACGTCGGGGCCCGAGAGGGGAGGGGTCGAGAGCCCCAGGGTCGCAGGCTCGTCGATCAGCGATATTAAAAGGGCCCCTGATCTTTTGGGGGAGACTATAGGATAGGAGGGCCACAGACATGAGGGATGGGTTTTTTGTTCTGAAGGGGCCCTGGGACACGCAAATAAATACACACAAATAAACATATTCCCCATAGTTTCCCATGTTTTCTGTGTTTCTGTCTTACCCCCCCACTTCCCATACTTTCCCATATTTTCTTGGAATCGACGATTAATTGTGTCTGTGTGTTTTTTCCCCTCCTGATACAGGTTAGGAGGGCCACAGACATGAGGGATGGGGGGGGTATTTTCTGCAGGTGTACCGAACCAGAGCGCCCAGAATCATGAGCCCTGCTGCAGAGACGGGGACCCAAGTGAGGCCACGTCTCCACTGCGTCATCAGGGTCAGGGATCCTTTTGTCCTCGATGCCTCGTCCCACGACGTCGGACCTCGGGGCTGGCGCAGAGGAAGTGGAGCGCGGAGGGGCGAGGCCGGGCGGCTGCGAGGGCGGAGCGGTCGTCGAATGGCACGGTCGGACGTAGGGCAGAAGAACGTCCTTCAGGAGCACCAGACCCTCCGCCGGCCAGAACATCCCAGGCCAGAAGATCCCTCGAGGACCGCCCTCCCTGGCGCATGGAGCGCGTCAGGGGCGGCGCCTGAGGCGCCGCCAGGGAGGTCCAGTGCGGATCCCAGAAATCCCCGCGGACCGCCGAGTTTTTATGTTCTGGCTATTGCTCGTTGCCCCAACCCTAATTGATATTCTCCGTGCTTGTGGGATGCTCTTGTGCACCGTGGGGGCGGGTACCCTCGAATGACCTTCTGGTCTGGGGTATGTTCGGACCGCCGATTTTTATGTCTATATCAATGTTCGTTTCGGGGATGGACAGAGTCCCCTTTAGCAAAGCGCGGTGTAGTGAAAACGACCACGGGCCCAAACTTTTGGCGGGCGCAGGCCTGGAAGATGACGGCCGTGGCGCCCTCTCGAGAACCGAAGACAGACCACTCACTGACCGACGTGTCAGGGTGGGGATTCTTTCCACCCCCGATCGCTCCCCTAAGGTGGCTACCCACCAGACCACCCCCAACCCGACCCGAAGACCCGAATTTGACCCGAATTTCGGCTTAGGGGGGTACGGGCTCCATGTGTTTTTACCACGTTCCCCGCCCCCCCCCTTCTGGAAATGGAGGGCAAGTTGAAGCCTTCGGGTTGGGTGGTTTGGCGGGTGGTGGTAAGGGTAGCCTCCCCGAACCGACCTCGGTCCTCGGGGATCTCCTGACCCGGGGTCAATCCAGACCCGGGCCAGTCGAGTCTTGCCGAAGCCTGCAGAATCCTGCAAGATGCTGCACCCGAACCCGGGTCCATGCGAAAGATCTTGCAAGATCCTGTAGGATCCTGCGCCCAAACCCAAGTCAATGCGACCCTGGCCTTGCAGGATCCTGCAAGATCGGGCGTTCTGGCTGACCCCCTTTTGCACTGACCCCCGTCTCAAGGCTCCCGAGCATGCGCCGTCGGGCACGTGCCGCGTCCCGCCCCCCGCGCACGCCGCGAACGCCGCGACAATCGCTGGAACGACGCCTGCGCGCGCCCGTGCTTCAGCCATCCCCGTCGAGATGGAGGAGGCCAAATCACAGCGCCCAAATCCACCCAAAAACGGCAGCGAACAACAGAGAGCGCTGCAGCGCAAGACCAGCACGCCGCGCGACAACGAAACCAGCAAAAGAGATAAGAAAAGCGAAAGTAGCAATAATAGCAACCTCCCCTGGTGAACGTGGCCTCGTCTAGAGATTTGCACTGACCCCCGTCTCAAGGCTCCCGTGGTCCGGGCGCACACCAGCGGGCGCCGGCCGTCGGGCCGGGAGCGGCGGCCAGGGCGCGGGCGGCGGCCGAGTCGTCGACCCGGGGCGGTGCGTGCGCCGAGGGGGCGCGCGGCCGCGGGCGTTACGCGCCGTTTGGGAGGCGACCGCTGCCTTCGTCGGCTCCTCCTCCTCCTCCTCCTCCTCCTCCTCCTCCTCCTCCTCCTCCTCCTCCTCCTCCTCCTCCGCCTCCTCCTCCTCCTCCTCCGCCTCCTCCTCCCCCTCCTCCGCTCCTCCTCCTCCTCCTCCTGCTCCTCCTCCGCCTCCTCCTCCTCCTTGTCCTCCTCCTCCCTCCTCCTCCTCCTCCTCCTCCTCCTCCTCCTCCTCCTCCGCCCTCCCTCCTCCTCCTCCGCCTCTCCTCCGCCTCCTCCGCCTCCTCGCCTCCTCCTCCTCCTGCTCCTCCTCCGCCTCCTCCTCCTCCTCTTGTCCTCCTCCTCCTCCTCCTCCTCCTCCTCCCTCCTCCTCCCCCTCCTCCTCCTCCTCCTCCTCCTCCTCCTCCTGATCCTTCCCCTCCTCCTCCTCCTCCACCTCCTCCTCCTCCTCCTCCTCCTCCTCCTCCTCCTCCTCCCTCCTCCTTGTCCTCCTTGTCCTCCTCCCTCCTCCTCCTCCCCTCCTCCCCTCTCCTCCTCCGCCTCCTCCTCCTCGTTCCTCCTCCTCCTCCTCCTCCTCTCCCCTCCTCCTCCTCTCCTCTCCTCCTCCTCCTCCTCGCCTCCTCCTCCTCCTCCTCCCCCTCCTCCTCCTCCTCCTCCTCCTCCTCCTCCTCCTTGAGAAAGCTGGAGCCCCATCGGGGGGCTGCTACGCCGGATCAGGCCGCGGATGAGGGCGGACTAAGCCGGATCGGGGGCGGCGGCCGTGGGCGTCACGCGCCGCTTAGGAGGCAACCACCGGGACGTCTTCGTCGGAAAGATTGGGAAAGATGAGGCCCCATCGGGGGGCTCCTCCGCCGGATTGGGCCGCGGATGGAACATGACGAAGCCAGGTCAGGCGGGACTTGGCCGGATTGCGCGGGATCGAGCCGGGTTAGGTCGGATTTCGGACCAGGGCAAAGTCAGTTGACCTCCCGGGAGTTGCACCCGAACGTCATGCGGGCGGTGGCCCGCCCACAGCGAG